GTGAACCTTCAAGGGACCGAAATTCGGTTCACTGGAACCGGGAGTTCACTATATCCATTACTCAGGCAATTTAACTAATAGTTTCTAAACTGGGTTTTTAAAGTTTATGAATACAAGATTATTTAAGATGATCAAAAATTTCATCTCAAAGCTCTTTATTTAGAATAAAAAGAAAGAGAAATATCTTGGAATCCATTAACATATTTAATACTGTGTGTTAATTTTTCGACAAAATACAACGTTGCTAACTATCTAGACAGGTCAGATTTAATGTGATACCATACAGTGTTATTACTCCTAAAAAAGAACTGCGAGGAGCGTATGGGGCAAACGTGTGAAGTTTCATGAAATTGTCCCAAAAATTCAGCTACGCTACTGTGGGAACTGCTCAAGCTAGCATAAATGTGGTTACAAATGCAATTCGAAAGTTTTGAGTATGGGGGCTCACTCTCACAATAAAAGGAATCGCTAACACTCGAAAGTGTGCTAGAGGCCATTCTCTTGGGTGTTTAAAATTTGATTAGGGATGAGAAGTTAAAAGAGCATTGACATTCATGCAATTTTCGCAGTTCGTCTCAGGGACCGTTCTCTCTGGAAGCGAAAAAAGCGCGTATACGATTTTAACGATTCCAATGAAAATTCGATAAGTTAAATATATTTATCCGCATAAAGATCTTTAATCAAGTTGCTTTTGAATTCGCATATTCGATTTATCTTTGCATCCAGTTAGAGAATAGCCCTTTACACGTAGTTTCAAGGGAAACATTTACACTATGCGCCAAAACTTTAAAAACGCTCGCCTTGCCGATGTTTAGAAATAGAATGTGAGAAAGACATTTTGTGCCTGTACGAATCATAAATTTATCATGGATAAAATTGATTTTTAAATTTTTTTTTATCTAATGATGAATTAACAGCAATTAATTATTTTTATTTTAAAGTTTAAATGCTATTCAATCCTACACAGTTTCTTTAAATCTATCAAAATGTAAAAATAATGTACTATGAAAATTTGAGACATTTTACACTAGTTACCAAAATTAAGGAATAATAATTTTTTTAAAAATAAGTACCCTATTTTTTAAAATGCACTTTGAAACAACCATTTTTTTCCTTCATAAAAACAACTCCAAATATTAAAACTTCATCGATTTTTTTTAAATTTTATGTAATTTTTTACTGCTTTTTCAAAAGCAAATAATAAATTTTAAAAATTTGAAATTTGTTAAAAAAAAATCAGAATCAAATATTCTTTGGTTTATTTCTGAAATTATATTTGATTAATATTTTTACGATAAGCTGGGAGAAAATAAAATCTGCATTAAAGATATCCTTTTAAAATATCTCTAACATATTATCTATGAGTTATTTCCAGGTGTGATTATCTGATGGTTTGTTAATTTAAATGTTTATATGAAGTGTGTTGGAATACGCCGCTTCAATATTTTTTTATATAATTATAAAATTAAGAACAACTTACGTTAACTGTTTTAATTAAAGAAATTTATTTTATTTTGATTCTCAATTTTAGGTTTTCTATTTTCACTTTTTTCCTTTTAATATTTGCTTGATGGTTAATTTTTTCATATGGAAAAAAATTTCCATGACTGATAATAGGTATATAAATTATTATGTCATTATTATATTTATATATTATTATATTAAAGGGCTATTAAATTATTATATTTAAAAGAGAAAGTTTAACAAATAACGTTACAATTAAATAAGCTAATTGCAGTACCATAAATTATTCATGGCTTTACTGCTTTTTAAAAAAAGTTTTCTATACAAGGTTGGGAATAATTCCAATACTTTCTGAATAAATCAATTTTACGTTGAATAAACTTTTGGAAAATTTGTAATTAAATTCCTGAGAGTTTTTTTTTTAAATGACTTTCATAAATTAACAAATTCTATTTTTAAATTTACTTGTAAAAATTAATATTTAATTGGTGTAAAAAAATTTTATTCTTAAATTAACAATTTTCAGCATGTTACTTTAGTTTAAAAACACTGTCTCTTGTTTATTGCCTTAGTCAAATAAGGGATTTTTTTTTGTTCAAATCCTCAGTTTGTTTCTATAATTAAATCAAATATAGGTTAAATCAAAATTCTCTAGTAGAGAAATCTAGTAGAGACTCTAGTAGAGAAATTAATGCTTGAATAATAATAATATATATATAAACTGACTTATCTAGAAATTAATTTAAAACGTTTTCCTGCGAATTTTATGGGAATCTGGAGCATGGTTATGCGTCTCTATAACATTTTTCAAAAAGCAATTTATTGTAGTGAGTTTCGCTGTGCAATTTTTCTGTTCACATTTCCAATAACTAGTTTCATTTTTATATTTAGTGTGCAAAGTAAACAAATAATTTTTATACAGTATCAAATAGCCCCCTCTTGAAGATTTTAAGTAGCTTATTTCCGACATTATTTAAAATGGCTAAAAAAAATGTCGATTGAATATATGGTTAAGCGATAGTAAGAGGAAAATCTATTTTCCCTTTCAGGTTGTTTTTCCCCAAAAAAGAATTCTATCCCTTGTATAAAATCCCTCTGTACCCTTCCCTCCAAACGGACCCCTGGAGAGCTCCCGTGCCCACAGGTGCACATCATTAATTATCTATTGGGTCAACTTTCGTTTGGGTGAAGTTTCATATACACGGTATTAAGGACGCCCTCATATTGATCATTTCGGGTGTAAAGTCTTGCTCTACACCCGTTTTCTTTTCTAATACAAGACCAAGCTGTCTTACTCTTCAATTCCGCATGATAATACTAGAGGTACTTTTCATGTTCAAGGATTCTTTTTCCAAATTTTGAATTATGAAAAACTATCTCCATCTTGATTGCTAAAAATTCTATATTGACAACACGCGGTGGTACAATCTTTAGGGGTTGCTGAAGAGATGTTACAAATGCCCATCGCCAAATGTTTGGCGATGGGCATTTGTTAAAATTTAAGAGTCCCCACTTCAAAGATCTGTTCATAACAATACATTTTTCTCTTTGACACATTGATGGATCATATCTATTGTTATGACCCTCTACCCCACCTTCAGGTTGGAAAATCCTAGGATGGACGGTTCCCCCTGACACGATCTTTCCCACCTCATAATAATAAAATAAAGTTGCTGCTTGAGGATTTTGCGCTTACTGATTTATGCCTTTCGAAAGGAATAAATTCCATTGATATATTAATTGGAGCAGATTATTATTGGAAACTCCACACTGGGTACATAAAGGAGTTGACTAAAGATTTGTTTTATGTCGAAACATTACTCGGCGGAAGCGTAACTGGGATTACTCATTCAGATTTAAAAAATTACTCTATCATTCAAAATTTGTGTTATTGTAAGGAAAAATTTAATTGTGAAGAATTAACTAGTGAAAATAATTCTTGTGATGATATAAATTTACAGTTACGGAAATTTTGGGATATTGAAAGCTTAAGCATAAATGATAAAATTCAGAATACACCTTTAGAGCAAGAAACTTTAAAACAGTTTGAACAAAATATAAAACTTCAGGATGGCAGATACGTAGTTAAATTACCATTTAAAGATGAGATAAACATTTCTGACAATTTTAATTTATCTAAAAGTCTCTAAATGATCTACTCTCTAAATGATAACTTATTATCGGGTCCCAATCTAAACCCTAATCTTTTAATTTTACTATTAAAATTTCGCGAGTTTAAAATAGGAATAATTGCTGATTGTGAAAAGGCTTTCCTACAATTGTTAATTGATGAACATGATAGGGACTTTCTTAGATTTCTTTGGTCAGAACAATTCCCTCCCAAGAAAATTGAGGTTTTTCGCAATAGAACTGTAACTTTCGGAGTAAAATCATCAACATTTTTACTGGCTGGAACAATAAAGTATCATATCAAAAATTATAAAGAATCTCATCCTTTGGCGTGTATCCAAAATTTGTATGTCGTCGATCTTATTACTGGTACAAATACGTTTGAAGATGGACTACTATTATCCAGGGACACTAAATTAATATTAAAGGAAGCATCTATAAATCTTAGGAAGTGGAAGAGTAATTCTAAGGAGTTATGCCAAAAATGGCTAGACACAAAATTTGAAAAATATCCTAGTGAAGAAACAGTACCCTTAAAGGTTTTAGGATTAATTTGGAATACTTTAAAGGATGAATTTAATTTAGATTTATGTTCTTTAATTGACTCTTTAGAAAATGTGAAAAATACTAAGAGAAGCGTATTACGCATATCATCAAAATTATTTGATCCAATAAGATATATAACAGCATTCACGATTAGAATTAAAATTCTTCTTCAAGAAATTTGGGAACAAGGCTTAGAATGGGATGAGGAATTCTGAGATACTTTAAGACTGAAATGGGAAAAATGGTATAAGGAAGTAAATGTATTAAAGGAACTTTCACTACCAAGATATTATTTTCATGAAGAAGATAGCTGTTCCGAAGTAGGGAATTATAAGATAATTATATTTTGTGACGCAAGTGAGAAGGCGTATGGAGCGATTGCATATATTCGATATGAAGGAAATCAAAATTTTTACGTAAGCTTCGTTACTTCAAAGGCACGCGTTGAAACCATTGAAGAAGTTGAGTCTACCAAGATTAGAACTGATGGCCACTCTTATAGGTTCCAGATTATTGGATACTCTAAGGAAGGTGTTTCAAATAAATAACAACTATATTCTATATTCTGACTCAACCATAGCCCTTAGTTGGATTCGAGAAAATGCAAATCAGTGGAAGACATTTATTTCAAACAGAGTAAGTGAGATCCAAACTTTAACAGATCCTACTAATTGGAAGTACATAAAGGGAAATGATAATCCACTGATATCATATCAAGAGGATGCAGTGCTAATGATTTGCTCTCAAGTGCAATTAATTTTAATGGACCAACATGGTTGACATTAAGCGAAGAAAAATGGCCGAAAAACGAAGAAAATTTTAGAAGATCAGATGTAGATGAAGAAAAGAGATCAAAATTTATTGCAGTTAATTATGCAAGTGAAAATAATGTTAACGATTCAATTTTCGATATCCACAAATTTAGTTCTATTAAGAAGGTTTACCGAATAACAGCCTGGATTAGAAGATTTATAACNTTTACAGAAGTGCTCAAAAATCAGAGACTTAAATCCGTTCATTTCTGACAAAGGGATTCTACTTGTGGGTGGAAGACTACAGCACTCCAATTTGAACTATTATGAAAAACATCCTATACTATTACCATCAAAAACTAAATTTACAGAACTGATAGTGAAGGAAGCACACGAAAAGACCCTACACTCTGGTATTTCAGACACACTAACGCAGGTACGAGAGAAGTTTTGGATTCCGAAAGGTCGGCAATTTATTAAGTCAATAATTGGAAGATGCGTCTTATGTAAAAGATTCAATGTTCGATCAGGAAGTGAAATTATGGCACCTCTTCCTAAGGACAGAATAGAACAGTCACCTCCATTTTCAGTTACAGGCCTGGATTCTGCTGGATCCTTATTTGTGAAGGACTCTGACAGTAAGTTTTACATCATGCTATGTACCTGTGCAGTTACACGAGCGATACATCTGGAAATAGTTTCTGGTTTAACAACTGAAGCATTTTTACTTGCTTTTCGTCGCTTCATATCCAGAAGAGGACTTTGTTCTGTTATTTATTCAGACAATGCTCAAACGTTCAAGCGAGCAGAGTTTGAATTGAAAAAAAGTGGACTATTTTGAGCAGTTCTGAAGTGAGTGAGTTTTATTCCTCAAGGGGAATAAGGTGAAAATTCATCGTTGAAAGAGCACCCTGGTGGGGTGGATTCTACGAGCGAATGGTTCGTTCAATGAAAATCATTCTTCGGAAATTACTGAGGAAAACATCTTTGACTAGTGAAGAACTCGAAACAGTTCAATGTGAAATAGAAGCTGTGATTAATTCGAGGCCTATTACTTACGTGACTACAGACTTTCCAGATACTTTTCCTCTAACGCCATCCCACATGCTACTTGGAAGACGATTAATAAGTTTACCGTCAGTCAAGTTATCCGGTATTGACTGCATGATTGACAAAAAGAAAATAATTAAAAAATTTAAATATCGAGAAAGACTTATAAATCAATTTTGGAAGAAATGGAAAAGGGATTATCTTTTAAATTTAAGAGCTGTCAATTACATAAATTTGGATAAAGGTAATCAAAATTTTAAGGTAAATGATATTGTTTTGATTCATGATGACAAACTTCCAAGGAGCATGTGGAAACTTGGAAAAATTGTGGAAACATTTCAAGGACGTGATAACAAAATAAGAGCATGTGCTTTGAAAACAGATACGTCAATAATAAAACGTCCTATAAATTTATTATATAATTAAGAAGGGCTCATATTGTAAAAAGGTAAGATTATATTATTTTTTAAATATTGGTACCTTACATTTGAGAAAAATAACTTTGATTAATATATGAAATGACTAAAGTTTTATGAACTAAGAGTTCATCGGGGGGAAGTGTGTTAATAATATTTCTCCATATTAATTATAATTTCTAAAGCTCAATAGATGGCGCTCTGCGCAGTATTGTAAAATCATTAGTTTCTAATCAGTTTCCTCCATGACACTGTACCATTATCATCATCTTTTTGTTATTAAATATATATTATGTTAAAAGGCGTTTGTTATGATTGAAACCCCGAGATCTGAGATCATATCACCGTATTTAATAAAAGTCTCGAGGAAAAAAAAAATTGAAGTAGCGATACCATCAAAATGAAGTGTTAGATCTTCATTTTCAATAGTTTTTTGTGATTTAAGTTTTTTCAGTCCTTTTTGAAAATCACAGTAAATAAAGTTATTACTCATACTAACACAATTAAAATAAACTTTTACTATAAGAAAATTTATAAAAAATTTCTTTAAAATGTAAATATTCAAAAACATGAAAGATAAAAAATATGAAAATACAAGTGATATGAGATATCTAAAAATACATATTGACTCTTTTTGTCAAAAAAATTTCAATCTGAAATTTTTCTTCAGGATTTGTACATCTTGAAAGTTAAATGTATAAAAAAATTTGACACAATGGTCTTTAATCTGAAATTTAGGACTTCAGTGTTATTAGGGGAATTTTTTACAAGATTTTC